TACTAGTCTACTAAAACACAGCCAAGACAAGTTACTTTGCACAGTCCAAATGTTAGTTTTATGTTATTTTATACGGTAACATAAGTGCACCTGAGCCACGTCATTGTAACCTATGGTACCTGTACAGAGGTTAATTACTGAAAATAATGGATAAAAATATAAAGTTTTTTCTTAAAAAATATTTTATAACTATCTCGACAGTATAATGATTTTGCATGTGACCAAGCCTGTGCTGAAAGATTTAAGAGTTATAGTAGGGCAACCACAGTGGTTACAAGGTCAGTCTATGAAAAGAGTTAATAAGTTTAATAGAATTCTTCTGAATTGAGAATGGAATATTTGCGAAGCTGACAAAATGTAATAAGGTCTCTACAAGGTTCCTAGGCAGAACATTACAGCTCCATCTCTGGTTCAGACTACCAATAACCAGTGGAGAAAGGTTGGATGTGCCACTAGTGATACCTGGGGTCTTGCATGGCTGTACACCAAGCCACTCCAAGTAGCTCATAGCCCTTTATCAGCTAACCTCTCATCTGGGTGTCAGTGTCCCTGTCTGCAGTATCTCCATCTAGCATTGGTCAGTATCCCTTAAGGGTGAAGCTTTGTCCAGCTACACAGGTCCTTGTGAGAAAGGAAAAATGGTTAATGCCCCCAAGGTTCAAGGGTATAGCAGAGATAACCTAGACTGATTCCTGAATTGTTTCAGGCAGATGACTTCCCAGATTGAATGGATTCAAGAGCAGGCTATTCGATGCCTGATCATGCATTTAGACAGTCTGTCCTTAACATCATGGGACACCTGGACAAGTAGCAGCAGGAAGCCTGGGAGACAGTCTGTCACCAATTCAACCAGGAGAAGAATCAGGCAATCTATGGGGCTAAGTTCAATGCTTGCAAAAGAATTGGCACTGAACAAAAGCCTCTCCATTAAGCTTATATGACAGCAATTGGGAATTAGGAACATCCTCACTCTCATGGAGGCAACTTCTGTTGTGACATGGTTTGAAATGATCACTATGAACAGACTGTCAAAGAGGAAGAAGCCTGCATCAGCAGCTGGAGCGAAAATTCTGCTGCACTGGGCTAGACTCGACTGAGGGTTAGCCAGCCACCCACAAATTATTGCACTGTTATGCAGCCACAGTGGTTTCCAGTGAGTGTGCAAGGCTATCCAGGTTTGCACAGAACTTTGAAATTCTGGAAAATGACATCTAAAAAATTCAATACTGAAAATCTTGGAAAAATGGGTACTTTCAAGTCACTGTCCTGAAAATTGAGTTTCAGTAATCCCACCCACCATAATAATTGGCTTCATTATAAGAAATTAGAGGGACAAACAAAGTCATTATCATTATCAGTTTGCTCATATTTCTTGTCGGCTATTTTGAATCTTGTTCCTTGCAAAACCTGAAACTGCTGCAGTTTCTACAGGTGCATATTTGGGGAACAAAAATGGCAGAAAAGTGAAAGTTTAATCCTGCTTTGCAGGATTTGAGAATCCTAGAAGTATGAGTTATAAAAGTAGTCTTGGAAATTTCTTTTGGAAAGTCTGTATGTACCATGTCATATATTTTATACATAAATGTTATGCTTTCTGCACAGTAAACTTAATAGTTTGATAGTAAACTTTATGTGGATGTTGAATTGAATAATAGAACAAAATATTAATTATGTATGAAAATTCAAATAGTTCCAAAAAAGTTGTAGATGAGAGATATGACTGAAATTGTATCTAAATTCTTTCTCTCATATAGCATTTAATAACAAATTCTGTTTCAGACTTAACCTTGATGTAGTTTAATTTATTTGTAAATTAATCATGAATAGCTTTAATACTGTTTTAGATACTTCAAGAACTAGAATATGGTGCTTCAGTTGATTGGTGGGCTCTCGGTGTTCTCATGTATGAAATGATGGCAGGTCAACCTCCATTTGAGGCTGATAATGAAGATGATTTATTTGATTCTATTCTTCATGAAGATGTTGTGTATCCTGTATGGCTGAGTAAGGATGCAGTGTCTATTTTGAAAGGAGTGAGTATTTATTTTTTGTGCTGTTATTAGAGATTTTATATTTAAATCTTTAAATTCTAACTTTGCAAAAATAGTCCAAAGGACCAATACTAAAAAATTAATAAAACTGAAGTACTATTGATACTATGAATACTCACACTTTAATATGCTATCTTTGAATTTGAACATTTGGTTCTCATAACATACGTTAGAATAGAATATATTCAAAAATGAAATTATGGTATTAAAAGAAAGAATGATCTACAAGAAAATCAAGAACAAGATTTTAGTAGAAAGGACTAAAATTTTGTCATTTAAAATGCATTTCTTTAACTTGTAAGCAATTTGAAAATGTCTACAAGACTCATTTAAGCTTCTTTAAATGTGACATGTAATATTATAAAAACAATAGTACAAAGAATATCATGTTTTTAAATTATTGTTAATGATATTTTGGAACGATGTAGGTGTAGTGCATAGTAGAGTACTAAAGTAATATTTGCAATAAATATTATCACTTACCAGCATTTCACCTTTAAACTATGTAAGGACATAATTTTGAAATATTTGCAGGCTAATTTCAGTATGTTTTCTTTACTTATGAAAATGTACTTTTTTTCATTGTTGTTTAAAACTTGTTTTTTATATTGGCTGAAAAGTGTTTTATTCATCCATACTTCAAAATTTTATTCACTGTATATCTACTGAGTTTTTATTTTATATTCAAAAGTTTCATTTTATACATGCAAACAGTTTTAGTATTTTTGATATACATAAATATTTTATTTTTTGGCATTTTCCTTTGCACATTGGAGCAGTCATGTAGCTACCATAAACACACACAATTATCATATGGTTTTCATGTGACTTGCCATGTACAATTAGGAGTTTTTATGTGAAAGTAGAACATATCTTGGCTTTTCTGAACATTCAAAGAAATCATTTATGATAATTTCAGCAGTTGATGTATTACATAGAAGCTTAACTTCTTTGATTTGATACTCATCAAAATGCCTCATATGAAGGGTCTCACAACACAGTTTACACTGCACCTATACCTTATTTACTGAGAGGGACAGTCTGCATCTTTTTCTTTGACTTTTCTCAACATCTTTTGGAAAGTGCTTGCCAATAGAGAGTCTCAGAGGTGAAAAGTCTGGATGGTAATGGGTCATAAAGGATTTCAGAAGGAAATTTATACTAGGTCTAATTTATAAATGTTTATCATGATTAGGATCAGATCTAGGAAGAGCATAAGTATTATTATTGAAATGCAAGTAGTTATGAGTAGCCAAAAACTTGTCTCTAGATAAGATATTGTTAAACCAACCTGAGTATGGAAAGGAAGAAAGGTAGACCAGTAGTCAGAAAGAAAAGGATAAGGTTTAAGACCCATAGCTATAGTACGACCAAAATAAGCTAAAATAGCCTCAACAGTAACATCAATCCATTTTATGGTATTTTTTTTTATTGGGGGTTCACCCTGGTGTGCCAATTTATCGTGTGCATATTGATTTATTTCTATTACAATCATTTGCAAAACTTCCATTGTAAAAAAATCAATGATACTAGTTGCTTAACTAGTTTGTCATGAAACTGGTTCACCCCTGTTAAAAGTGGATACCTGTGTTTGCTCCTTGTCATTTAGCTTTACGCAGATCCAGGTATCATTACAGGCAAGAGACCTCTCCTTCTGGGAAGGGGCTTTAGCTCTACCCCTTCCTCTACTTCTCTTAGCTCAGTGTCTTCTCTCCGGTATTGATGTTGCTTGGTGTGATGTACCTGGATTGGATGACTCAGGAATATCTTCATGAGGCAGATTAAAGAAGAGCTGATTCAGTATTTTGTGGCCATCTGATTTTCTAAGCAGATTCTGTCAGAGGAATTGAAAGAGAAGCACCATTACTTCAGCTTCTTGTTCCTCTGACAAAGAGCCTCCCTCATCAGATAAGAAAGAAACATTTACAATAAACTTCAACTCTTCCTGTGTGAGTAAGCCATTCTTCGTCATAATTTCTTTTGCACTTTCTTTGTCAGGTGCCATTGCTTGATGAAGAAAAAAACATGTATATTACAATTTATTCTCAGTTGTATATCATAGACTTCAGAAATAATATTAGATAATGATTGCTTACTTACAAGTAATAGTAGTTATATACTTGTTTCTCCTCAGCTATGTCAGAGACCAACTCTTGATTTTATGGAACAAATGTTGTAGAGAAATTTCTAGGTTTTGAAATGCTACCTGAACCAAAACAGACTGTTTTTATCGTACTTTAAGCCAATTGTTAATTGGTTGATCTTTATATGTGATGAAATGATATCGAGAACATTCTTGATTTTATGTTACTGTAAGCTAAGCATTTATTGGTTGATGTATAAGTAAGGTCGAATAGGAAATAGCATATTTATTAGCACATACCCAAATAATTTTCATATACAGGACTATATCATAAACTTTTGTCTCATTGGAAGCACTGTAGTTCAAACAAGGCAATAAATTCTCCAATATGTTGCAAATCAAGGGTGGTTATGATATTTTATGAAGACCACTAATTGCGTCACGAAATGCTTGTCATAGACTGAGGGGAATACTTCCACTTGTGCCATAAACATCTGGTTATTGCTTCGCTCATGCATGTTACAGTTTCCTGTAGGCTCTATAATAACAGCAGGCAGCAGATTTTTGTTTCAGTTGCTGGTAGTATAATAAATCACAAGAAACAGGTTGGAAAAGTTTAGAAGTTGAAACTTTCTAGATAAGTTTTTTGGAACTTTGTGGTCACTAATAAGAAAGGAAAGAACAGTAATACTAATGTTACTTCATATTTTTAAACTTTTCCTTGTACTTTGATTTGTCTATGGGCTAGAGAATCGAGTATAGTGTTATGGTATATCTCAATTAGAGATAAAATATAAAATTAGAATAAAATATGAAAATTATAAAATAAAGAGCAGTATTCTTAATGTTAGCTTGAAAATCACTTTTCACCCAGACTGACTCAGTAAAGGTATCATAAATTCACAGGCAAATATTTTGTAAAATAAAATTGTTTTTTTTTATTAGAAATAGATGTGATATTTACTAAGAGCTTGCCAAATTTCATGAAAATACATTAAGTACTTTCAGAGGTGTAGTATGTAATTCTTCATGATATCATGGTGGTTATGAGATTGTGTGAAATACACAAGCTCATTGCAATAGGGTTAAATAGTATATTTAGTTCTTCTGTGTGTTCACTAAATATCACATGAAAATAATATGTATTGTAATATTGAAAAAAGAAAGATTGTAACATATCCTGTAACTGCATTTGGATGCTAGATGTAATCCATTCTGTCATTGCCATTTTCACTTCTTTGTATAAAATTTCACCTGTGGCATAAAGCTATACTTAAATGTATCTCTTAAGTGTTTTTTTTTGTGTGTGTGAGTGCAAAAATAATTGAATTGCATTTAAAAATACCATATATTTTTAAATTTTGACACCTGGTAATACATTTGCTTTATAAACAGGAAGTTGCCTGTTGCCAGGTCTCAAAAGTTTGAGCAACTTTCCCTATAAAGTTTTCTTTAAGAGCATTACTGTTGGACAAAAACTTATGATTATGGTTTTTTTGGGGTTCTTACACTTTTACATTCTTAAGTGATGGCTCTAATTACTTGTATTTTCTACAGTTTATTTAATATTCACAGAGCTTCTGATTTTCGGTTTTAACCAATAAACACTAATAAAACACCCCCAATACAGAAAAAAAGAAATCTGTTTTTTTTCCAACAAACACCAGGAATTGTTATTCAGTTTACTTTACATTAACCCACTTTCCCAAATTTCGTTTGGTAGTGGTAGGTTTTATAATTTCATGTAAAATACTGGCTGCTCTTACAAAGCTTTAACATAAATAGATGTATGTTTTGTACTTGTTATTACTCTCAAAAAAGAGAAATTAGTGTGTAGATAATATATTGTATGTTAGCATACTCATTACAGTATTAAAAAACATTACAGTACATAAAACTAAAAATGAAAACCCCATAAAACACCAATTTTAAGATGTCTAATTAAAACTATAAAACAGCCAAAAATAAACACTGATTTGAAAAAAAATTAACACCCAAAAAAGCCCTAAATATTCATTTACAGCAATTCAGTAAATGTGTTATAGATTTTGCTTCTTTGTTTTTTGACATTGTTGTTGTCATCATATTGCAGCAATTTCATTACTTATTTCTCCTTATATATGATATTATATGGCATTTCTAGTGGGTCATTTTCTTAGTTATAGCATATGGTATTTCCAAAAATCTCCATAGTTTGCATGTGGTGTGTAATTGTTTTTTTCTTTTACAGTTTATGACAAAAAATCCTATCAAGCGTCTTGGCTGTGTGGCCACTCAAGGACTGGAGCAAGCAATATTGAATCATGCATTTTTTAAAGACATTGAGTGGGAAGCCCTTGAGGCAAAGAAAATCAAACCACCATTTCGACCTAAGATCGTTAGTATTATCAGCAGTAAAGTTTAAATTCCTCTAAGTGTTTTGCATCATCTTTTTGATTTATAAAAGTGCACTAACGTATTCAGTTTCATTCACGTTTTAGAGAAAAATAAGTTCAGCAGATTTTAAATGTTGCTCATATTGGTAGGATTATCTGTAAACGACCTCTAGTAGTTCTTTTTTTTGTGGGTGGGGTTAATGACTGGTTTAATCACCTCTAGAGATAATGAATAATCTCACATCTAAGGTATAACATATAATTAGTTATAAGACGAGAAATTAAATTGTCCATGGATCTCAACAGTATTTTCTATTTTTGACTTTAATGTTTTATTTCAATTTGTGATATGTAAATGTGGGAAATTAAATTTTCAAATAACAATAGCCTCATTGGTATTACGGATTTTATATAGAGACTCAAGTGTATTGTATGTTTGAGTGATGTCCACAAATTTTCTTTAGTATGTCTTAGTGTTGAACAACATATTTTTTATTTGATTTAATTACAAAGCATATAATATTGACTTCTGGCAGTCAGTTATTCACTTTTATCTTTCATACAAATCTGTTTTTTTTTGTTTTTTTTATTTAAGAATAGAACTCAAATAATATATTTATGTCCCACTTTGGTATTTATATATATATATAAAAGTAATTTGATTTGTTTTTATATAAGTTACTATGTTTTACTCTGGGCACTATGTGTCTGTATACTATGAGACCTGTAATTATTGGCAATGATATGATGCATTCAAAGGAGAATTTTCTTCCAAGATGGTACTTCACCTGTGCATCTGCATATGAGATTTGCATGTCATTAGCTTTGAGCTACCTCCAACCTATAAAACATGAATTTATTTTAAACTGCATGAATGCATTATGTCATCACCATGTGACAATAGCCCTCCACCAGTAGAAGAACAACACAACTTCCTTGCACAGTGGCTCTCCCTAAGCACTTGTACTCAAATTATTTCAATTCTTTTCATCAACATTGTCTGGAATGAACATGTTTCAGTTGTGTTAATCAATTACTTGAGATTTGCAGTAATTTCCTACTGAGTTCTATTTTCTTTATATTTACCTGGTTTAATGTTCATGATTCACATAACCAGCGTGGTTTTATAAAATTTCACTTACAAAGAGAAAAAAAAATTGTGGCTTCTTGCCATTAAATAATCTAAAGTGACAGACTTCCACTTCGTCTTGTGATAGTGAAGATGTTACAAACATGGGACCTATGGCTACTGGAGGCTCATTATTCAACATGTTATGGGTTCCTTTATGTACTCTGAACCTCCTCCTCCCATTCATTTGGCTGATATTCCTTCTCCCCAGTTTGTACATAACCAGGATTTTGACAGCTTTATTTGTGGAGGAAAATCCTCACCCTTCCAATCTCTTCCTTGGCATGAGATTTCACAGGTATACTCATTTCTTTCTCTTTCCCCTGTGTCTTTTAATTCCTCCCATGGTTTTTTACGTGACACCTATTCTCAAGATTACTTTTCTTCCCACCTTTGCCTGACATTAGGGTCCATACAGACTCATTTCTTGAATACCTGCACACCTGTACTAACATGCCTCATCTACTTGACATTTATACTGGTTTACAGCCATTATTCATTTCCATTCCTCGATTCCTAGCCTTTGGAATCATTTTTTACCTGCTTGAGGGATGGGCCCCATAACTTCTGTTTCGTTTTTATTGCCTAATTTTTGCACCTTCGTCTTTTACTTACCACCCTTCTACGTTACCTCTCGTCACTTCATTTAGCTCAAGAGGGGTTTTCTGGAAAGGCTCCTTCTATTCTTTTCATCACATTGACCCTTATTTCATCTTCTTCTCCATTCATCCTTACTTGGTTCCTCTACTGTTAGGATGGATGCTTTTCTAGCTAATGTATGCCTCCCACACGCTTATTTCCATCATCTTAAGCTGGCTTCATTTCTTCTCCCAGAGTTCTTCTGACTCACTGGAGATTTGGGCCAAGGAAGCCCAGCCTCAGTCCTCATTGTCTAACTTAGTTTCTCGTGTTCTCAATCTCACCATTCTGTTCCTGTTACTAGGCGTGCAGAATCCACGGCTCCCCTTACTATTTCTGCTTTTTGGCCTTTTTCTTACCATCCTCGCAATTCCTGATATCAGGGTCATAACTTGGCTCATCCATGACTACCCAGGTGGGTCTGGCCCTATGGGTTCTTGTCTGTCTCATTTCTCCAGCTTTTGGTCTCCATTTTCATCCGACAACAGGTTTTTCAGGTTCTCACCCACTGCCTATTTTTCCACATCTCTTCTTCTCCTCCCCATTCTCCTTTTTCTTTTCTTCTCTCTCCAATCCTCTTTATCTTCAGCATTTCGAGGATGCAGTCTTAGATCTCTTGGCCAAGAGAGTATTGAGAGAGTATTTACCCCTACACTAGGTACTGGCTTCAGGTTATTGATCTGTCATCATTCAGCTCTATTTGAAGGCTTTTTTTTTTCACTTAAGTGACACCTTTCACTCAGACTAGGTGACCAAGATCAATGTTTTGGATGCCTTTTTACAAATTCTGTTCATTGCTTTCCCCTTCTTCCAGACATTTTCTTTGTTTTGTCCATTGGGATGATGCCCTCCAGATCCATGCTCTTGCTTTTGGCATTATGTCTGCTCCTTATGTCTTCAGTAAAGTTATGGAGGCAATTGCCTACTGTGTTCAAGAATGGGGGTTGAAGTTTCATTATTACCTAGACGATTTGCCTCTCCTCACCCCTTCTCAAGAGGACTTCTTCTTTCACACCTGCAGGAGGCTGTTTGGCTGGGCTGGCTTATCAAGCCTTTTAAGTCTTTTCTCATGCCAACCCAATATTTGGTACATCTGAGCAAGTTCTTCAACTCCTATCTCAGTCAGTCTCAGCCTTCATCACCTTACCTATGAGCAATGGAATGTCTTGTCACCGAGTGTCATGCTCTTCATTTACACCCTGCATGCAAGATTCTTTTACTTTTGAGGACTCTAGCTTCCCACTAACTACTCATTCCTTTAGTTCACACATAATTGCCTCCTCCAGTGAACACTGCAAGACCAGTGGAACCTTTTTTAGAATCCATTGTCCTTGATAGTGTGCCTCTTGTCCCCTCTTCTCAGAAACTTGTGTTGGTAGCTCAACAGTGCCAATACCAGAGTGGGTATCCCCTTACCACCCCCCAAACCAGATCTCCATCTCCTCACAGATAGTTCTCTGTCAGACTGGGACTTGTCTTTGTATGATGATATGACTTTGAGCATGTTGGCTCTGGAGAAGCATTCATTTCTCATTAATGTACTTAAACTTTTTGCTATTCATTATTCATTAGACATGTTACCATAATCCACTCTGACAATTTAATACTAGTTTCTTATATCAACCATCAGGAGGGTACACATTCCAGGTTTCTTTGCTTCTGTGCAATTTACCTGCTGTTTTGGGTTCATTCCCATCATGTTTGTCTCACAGCTTGTCATCTGCCCATAGTTCTGAACTTGGTGGTGGATCACCTCTTGGCTGGACAGGACTCTACCTATGAAGAGGTCTATCCATCCGAAGGTTTTATGTTGTGCTTGTTCTCAGTTGGATATGCCTCTCATCAATCTCTTTACCACTCGTCTTAAACTTCCTCTCTTCTGTTCTCCAGTTTCTCATTCTTTAGCCCTGGTAGTTGATGTTCTTAGCCAGAACTGGTCTCAACCATTTTCGTATGCCTACAATCTTCTTTGTCTTCTCCCTCGTGTCCTTGCTTTGATATGAAACTCTCCTTGTTGAGTCTTGTTGGCAGTGCCTCTTTGGCTGGCACAACCCTGGTTTATTTGTTCATCAATTGACATCCGGGCCCCCTTTTCCTTTGCCCAATTCCCACTATCTCTTGCTCCAACCATGTTTCTCTTTCACCAAGAAGTGTCATCCCTTCATCTTCATATGTGGGATATGTCCCGGTCCTTTGCCTTTTTCTTATCCCATTTCTGTCCATCTATCAGCAGAAATGGCAGGTTTTTTTAGATTGGTCCATCTGTCACTCCATTCCTCTTGGCCATCTTACTATGGCCCAAATTTTAGCACTTTTTACACTTGGTTGTTTGACCGTGGATTGTCAGTTTCCACTATTTTGTCTTTCCAATTACTGACAGGTTTCCCTCCCCCTGTCCTCTCCATTATGTTCAGATCCTCCCTTCTTCAATGACCCCCTCATCCTACTCTCATGCCTGACTGGAACCTTAATGTATTAGGTCATCAAGAAATTAATGTCACTTTTTTTTCGATGAAAAAACCTGAAGAACTTATATATCAAAACAAAACATTTATTAGATGAAATAGTCTTCATTCTTATCGATGATGCTTTTCCATCTTACAATCAGGTTTTTAATGCCCTCAATAAACAAATCACTTAGCTTTGAAGCAAAAAGCATGTCAATGTCCTCTTTAACACCTTCCATATTTGCATACGTTTTCCCATTAAGATTGTGTTGCTGCGAGCGAAGAAGATAGGTAATCTGATGATACAATATCTGGAGAATATGGTGGGTGGGGGAGAACTTCCCAACCCAACTCCATAATCTTGTGTTGTGTCAAACATGCCACATGTGGACGTGCATTG